GGAAACCGCTCTTTCGCCAATATCTCCTACGAGATCAACCAAGGTGATACCTTCTCCTTTCTTTCAACCACTTCATATGAGAATCTCACGAATTGGCATGTAGTGGACGACTTAAACCCCGATCTAAATCCAAATATGTTGCCAATAGGCATCCAAGTAGTATTTCCTTTATTCTGCAAGTGCCCTTCGAAGAACCAGTTGGACAAAGGGATAAAGTACCTGATTACTTACGTGTGGCAGCCCAGTGACAATGTTTCCCTTGTAAGTGACAAGTTTGATGCATCACCAGAGGACATATTGAGTGAAAACAACTATGGTCAAAACTTGACTGCTGCAAACAACCTTCCAGTTTTGATCCCAGTGACACGCTTGCCAGTTCTTGCTCGATCTCCTTCAGATGGAAGAAAAGGCAGAAATCATCTTCCGGTTATAATCGGTATTAGCCTGGGATGCACATTGCTGGTTGTCGTTTCAATGCTATTACTGGTGTATGTATATTGTCTTAAAATGAAGAGTTTGAATAGGAGTGCTTCATCAGCTGAAACTGCAGATAGGCTACTTTCTGGAGTTTCTGGCTATGTAAGTAAGCCTACAGTGTATGAAACTAATGTGATCATGGAAGGTACTATGAACCTCAGTGAGCAGTGCAAGATTGGGGAATCAGTGTACAAGGCAAACATAGAGGGTAAGGTTTTAGCTATAAAAAGATTCAAGGAAGATGTGGTGGAGCAGCTGAAAATTCTGCAGAAGGTGAATCATGGAAATCTGGTGAAGTTAATGGGTGTCTCATCAGACAATGATGGGAATTGTTTTGTGGTTTATGAATATGCTGAAAATGGGTCTCTTGATGAGTGGCTATTCTCCAAGTCTTCTTCAGAAACATCAAACTCAATGGCCTCCCTTACATGGTGTCAGAGGATAAGCATAGCAGTGGATGTTGCAATGGGTCTGCAGTACATGCATGAACATGCTTATCCAAGAATTGTCCACAGGGACATTACAAGCAGCAATATCCTTCTTGACTCAAACTTTAAGGCCAAGATAGCAAATTTCTCCATGGCCAGAACTTTTACCAACCCCATGATGACAAAAATAGATGTCTTTGCATTTGGGGTGGTTCTGATAGAGTTGCTTACTGGCAGGAAAGCAATAACAACCAAAGAAAATGGTGAGGTGGTTATGCTGTGGAAGGACATATGGAAGATCTTTGATCAAGAAGAGGATAGAGAGGAGAGGTTAAGGAGATGGATGGATCCTAAGTTAGAGAGCTATTATCCTATAGATTATGCTCTCAGCTTGGCCTCCTTGGCTGTGAATTGTACATCAGATAAGTCTTTGTCTAGACCAACCATTGCAGAAATTGTGCTTAGCCTCTCCCTTCTCACTCAACCATCTCCGGCGACATTAGAGAGATCGTTGACTTCTTCTGGATTAGATGTAGATGCTACTCAAATTGTCACTTCCGTAGTGGCTCGTTGATTGAGTGAAGGCAATTTAGTTTCTCAAATTCAAGATGGTATTTTGTTTACACGATGACGAGTGAGCTTGGTTTAGGGGAGTGCTCAAAATTTGGATTTTCCATCCGTGTTATTCTTTAGCTTGAGGTAGAGTTGGCAAAATGAATAGCAATTGCAATTCACCTCAGACTAAATTTGCTTATTTCTCTGTATTTCTTTTGGTATGACAATTGAAACTGAATCAAATGATGGATTGTCTGTTACATTTACAAACAAATTCAAGCGAGATAAAGATAATTGCGTTTGAAATATATGTTTCTGCCACTGGTTGCATTAAGCTTATGTTTCATACCTCGTAAAGTTTTGGATTTTGTTCATACAATTGCATCCTCAATTCTGATAAATTGAAATGGTTGTTGGTTGATCTTTTAAACAATTCACTAGATAAAAGATAATGTTTCGATATACACTATTTTTAAATTTACCAAAATAAGATATACAATATTACTTATAAATTATTTATCTTAAGCATTCCATAGTTGATTTGAGTAGTAAATATGCCCTCTACGTATAGATGCATTTGTGACATGCAATGATGCATGTAGTAACCAAGGTAAAAAGTACAAATTTGTGCAATATGATATGCCTCTATGTTTATATTATTCTACGGCCAGCTCTACCCTTATATGGTGTTCCAAGTCAGCTAACTATTATTTTTTTGGGGGGGCTGAGGGGACATTCATGTTAGGCGAAGGGCGTTTAAAATGTATGAAAGAAAAATTCGTCCATGTTGTTCCAATCATTGGCGAAGGTACCTACCTCTACATAAAAAAATGCTAATACCAAAATGAATCGTTGAGAGTTGTGAGTTGACCATGTATCTGGAGAATCTTTCGTAAACATTAACTTTTCTGCATGTCAAACCTGCAGTGAAGTGTTTAAAAATTTGATAGATAGTTGTTTTGGACTCCTCAACAGAAAAATAAAAATAAAATTAGTGATTGGGGAGGAAGATGGTGGTGACCCAGAAAGATAGGAATCGGAGATTCGAAATTAGGTGAGAGGGACTGAAGGAGGAATGGAAAAAATAAATAAATAAAGAGTTAATTAACATTTTTTTTAACTTAATTTAAAAACAATTTTATTTAATTTTATTTTTAATCTTTTAAATATTGATCACAATTGGTTACATGACATTATAAAATTATGTCTCTCAATACTACTAATAACATATAATTCACTTAATTAATTAAGACACTAGAGTATTATAGACCTTTCATATCAAATACAAATTTTATGAATAAATAAAAATTCCTTTAATCCTTATCTTCAAAAGATAACATTTACGTCAACAACAAAAAAATAACATTTAATCATTAATATATAAATAAAAGTCTAATATATATATATATATATATATATATATTCACTATAATTACATATGGACATATCTATTAGTAACGTTCATATTACTTTTAAAAATCATTTTTAAATTATATTAGATTGATTATAACCCTGTTTAAAATTTTGCCAAATTAAAAAATATAAATATATTAAAAGATAAATTAATATTAAACATCTAATTTATATATTTTAGTTACTAAAATTTATATTTATAAGATATAATTTTTTATTATTATTTTAATATATTTATTTCTTAAATAAGATACTTATATTTTTATAAGACTATATTAATATATATTTATTAAATAATTAATATACAAATATGTTAATAATAATAATTTATCAATAATATTATTAATTATAATAATATATACAAAAATTAATTATTTACCAATAATAAATTTTTTTATATATATGAATGAAAATGAGAGTAGTGGGAAATGGTAGGAACACTTCCTTTTAGAGAGATTCTTGGTGCACTAAAAAACCTTTTTGTGAGAGGTATAGTAGGTTGTTTTGTATCTCTAATAATAAAGACATGTCTGTGGAGGATATGAAATTATGTAGGGAGGGGGAGAGTGAGTGGAATTGGTGTTGGAGGAGGCAATTATTTCAGTGGGAGCAATCTCAGTTATCACTTTTGATGATGGATCTAACATGTGTTCAAATGGATGATACAAATGATGATTCTTGGAATTGGTCAGCTGATCCAAGCGGACTGTATTCAATCAAGTCAGCTTACTATATAATTGTTAATGCCTCAGATTTTGCAGAAATCCCTCTTCATAAGTTCATATGGTGTAGGCTTGTCCCTTCCAAGGTTTCTTGTTTTGCTTGGAGGGTGATGCTTGATAGAATCTCAGCCAAAGTTAATCTTGCAAAAAGGAATTTGTTACTGTCTTCTAATTCTGGTTGTGTGTGGTGTAATCAAGGTCTTGATACCTCTTACCATATATTTTTTGAGTGCTCCTTTGCATACCAGGTTTGGATGTTGTGTTTGGAATGGTGTGGCCTCTTTGCTGCTCATCAAAATAATTTCATATCTCATTTTGAGCAGTTCCTAGGCCTTCCGAGTTGTGTTGCTAAAAATCAGTACAAATGGGCGGTGATCTGGTTGGCTTCAATTTGGAGTATTTGGTTGGCGAAAAATGAAGTTGTATTTACTAATAAATTCACATCTCCAAAGGATCTGGTCGAATTGATAAAACTACGCTCTTGGAAGTGGCTGAAAGCTAAAGATCTTGATTTTTACTATCGGTTTCCTTGTTCGTCAGGGGAACCTGCTGCATGTCTTAATCTTTATTAAGTTAACTATTTATGGGTTGAAGTACCCCTTGTACTCCCTTTTAATATATTTCATTTTGCCTAGCAAAAAAAATAAATTAAAATAGATCAATATTTTTTTTTTAAAATGTTGCAAACAATTATATATTATAGGATATTAATATACTAATAATATTATTTTGTATTTATTTATCAACAATAATATTTATATTAATAATATATAAAAATATATATTATTTAGTAATAATAAATATATGTACATTTTTACTTTCTATTAAAATTATATATTAAAAAATATTTTACTTTTCATATATATTAAAAAAATAGATTAAGGGTTAAGTGTTGTTTGAAACTAATTAAGAGCTAGTTCATATTTAATATTTTTGAGATTTTTCTTTATCAATCTTTATATATTATATTATGATTTTTTTTATTTTTATATATCACATCTGTTGGGTACCAGAGGGAAAAGAAAACTTCAATAGCGGAAGCACACACACGAGAGAAACAAAAATAGAGAAACAAACTCAGAAATTAACCTGGTTCGGCACTTCTTGCCTACATCCACAAACACACTCAACAAATTATTTTATTACTCCACTTGTAATTTTTACAAGGATAAAATTGCAAACCCTCTCACACAATTTTTGCACGAAAAAATTACAAACTCTTTCTTGACACACAACTACCTAAGTCCTCAATACACCCAAAAACTAGTGTTGTTGTGGTGAGTAGACCCAAACTATCACCCTTTATTTATAGTAGTAGTCTACCACTTCCCCTCTTCAAAACTACCCGATGTGGGCCTTTGGAGGATACCCACACACTTTGGGCACAACATATCCTCCCTTCATCCAAAGTCTCACATTAATCCATCATCATAACAGGCGACACTTATAAAAGGAATACTCTTCTTCTTCTCCTTCATACTTTTCAAGTCCTCCTTGAATTCTGGACATTTGACTTGAATGTGACCAAACTCTCCATTCTGAATCTTTCATCTCACATGGCTTTTCTTCTTCTAAGGCACAATCAAGACCTAGCTGGACTAAATAGTCATAGATTGTGCATTGCCATAAGGAGAAGTCTATCCTCCCATCAAACAAAGGAACATCTAACTTCATCGTAGTCATAGCACCGTATTGCTCTGGCCCACGTACTGCTTCTTTTCCTCCCTGGTACATGTTAAGTCTCAATTATACTTCTTTTTGGACAAGACTTATTGAACAATTCCACTCATCCTTTGCACCATTGCAAGATAATTGTTCTTTTTTTGATTCATTTTGTGTGCAGATATAGCTAACCCAGAATTTAGCTAACAATACCCTAATACACCTCATTTTTTGTGCAGGTATTGAGCTAGAGAATTAAGGATAGAAGACCCATAGGATTGGAAATTTAAGGAGCTAAGGAGCAGGGAAGAGCAACTGCGCCGGGCGCAAGACTTCCCGCGCCAGGCTTGAGCAAAATAGAGTGCCACACTTCTGCAATTCATAACTGCGCTGGGCGTGAGACTACCCGTGCCGGACGTGATCGAGACAGAGAGCCACTCAAACTCTCTAGAAGACATTGCGCCCAACTTAAAAAGAATTATGCCAGGCGTGTCCTGAGGCAGAGAGTAACTAAGCTATCTGGAAGGCCCTGTGCCGGGCACAAAGACTAATGCGCCGGGCGTGTAACCCTAATTTGACTCCCCAAGCTCGTATTTGAAGAAATCTTCGAGGTTTTTCTTCTCATTCGCACATTGGACGCATTCTAGGAGCTGAGGAAGGGATTCCCAGAGCTTGGGACCGTTCGTGTGTAGGTCTTTCCTTCGGTTCTTCATTCTCTCTTCCATCTCTATTTTTGTTTTCCCCTCATTGTTTTGAATGGTTCTACCCATTGTTTTGTGGGGTTAGATCTAACCAACGAACTCTATTGTAATCCTTACGTTTTAATGATATATATACATGTTATTTCACTCATTGTTGTGTATGTTTCTATTCTTAATGCTTGCTTTAGATTGATCCTCCTTTGCATGATATAGGTTCCATTGGGTGTTGGAAATAACCATTGAAACTAGCTCTGAAACAAATGCCTAGTGGAAAATGTATCTAGGAATGGAGCTTGACTCATTAGTAGTCTTAAACCCTAACCCGTAATGCGGGTGTAGGTATTGAATACTCAAGGGATTGATATTCATTATCCGCACCTAGGCTCTTGCCTTAAGGGATTAGGTTTGAGTAAACTTATGGGTTGACTAAACAATGGATGTAACAAGAGATTAAGGATTCGTTAGTGTGACGTTCGGTGAAATCTAACCCCGCAATCTCACAAAATCATAATATCATTTTTACCCTTTTTCACACACAAACAAATATTTTTAGTTTAACATTCCAGTAGTCATAACCTTTAATTCACATTTGCATGACAAACTACTAAATTGGAATTATTCTTTAGTCGCGAATATATAGTCAATAAATGCTTATTTTACCTACTAGTCCCTGTGGATACGATATAATTTACTACTTGAACGGCCGGTATACTTGCCATGTTTGAGTCCGTTGATATAATTAAAATGATTTACAATGATAACAAAAGTAATTTCAACGAAAATCTCAACAGTACACTGCTTCTCTTCCTCCCTTGGTCAAAACCTCAATTCTTTTCTGATGTGGAAGATCAGACAATGCTGCAACCACAGAGCATACTAAAAATTAAGAATCCCACAAAGCCCTACCACACCAAACAGGCTCTAATACTCAGAAATTAACGTGGTTCGACACTTCTTGCCTACATTCACAAATACACTCAACAAATTATTTTATTACTCCACTTGCAATTTTTACAAGGATAAAATTGCAAACCCTCTCACACATTTTTTGCATGAAAAAATTACAAACCCTCTCTTGATACATAACTACCCAAGTCCCCAATATACCCAAAAACTAGTGTTGTTGTGATGAGTAGACCCAAACTATCACCCTTTATTTATAGTAATAGTCAACCACTTCCCTTCTTCAAAACTACCCGATATGAGACTTTGGAAGATACTTACACACTTTGGGCACAACAATATTATCATGTTATTATATGGAGAAAAAATATAGTTGAAGAGTTTAGGTGAATGTCTACGTAAATCTAATACTTATATATATAAAAAATACTGTCTCTTTTTCATCCTTGTTTGGAATAAAGATAAAATGACTCATTTGCATGTCTCCATCCTTTTTTGCCAAGTATTAAAAATTTGAGATTTTTCCTTTCCTCCTCACTCCTCCTTTCTCAATTTTTTCTTTACAATCAAATGGTTGTGGTTGTCAGATAAATTTTATTATAGTCGTATGGTGCACATCAATGTTCTAATATAGAATTTAGGATAGTGTTATTTAGAGAATAAGAGTGAGATGATTAGTAGAAAATCTAATTTTCCTTCTTACCCTTAACTTTATATAGTAATTGCATCATATCTTTTGATTTTATTAAATCGAATATATCTGTATTATTTATTTTATATTTTTATAAAATTGTATAAATTATGTTTTTTTTAATATGTTTATATTTGTATTTTTAATGATAAATATATCATTTTGTAGTTTCATGAACTAAACTTATAGACTCAGAAAGATGTAAATTTATTTTGGATCAATCATTATTAAGATGATCAACTTCAAATCACTAATTTAATATATCTTGTACAAATTTAAATTAAACTATCTTGTAATCAAATTAATTTTAAATCAGTGACAAGAATATCTTTAGTTTTTCGCTTTACAAATTTTCTAATTTTAGAAAAATTAAATCTACGAACCAAAACTACATAAAACCACCGGGGATAGCAATCAGACCGAGTCCAATGGCTTCATCAATTCTTTTGTTTTTTACAGGAAGCTTCATCAATACTTAGGGAGCCTTAAACCGAAAAAGAAAAAATATTCCAGTTTTTTTTACAAGATCCAATTAGCTGATTTAAAATGATTAAGAAAATTCGTTAATGGCTTAATTACGTTTTTGTCTCTATCCTATTATAATTGTGAGATTTTCATTTTTTAAGTTTTAATCATGTAATTTTAATCTCTTAAATATCTCAATTATGTGATTTTATTCCTCAAATTTTAATTAAGTAATTTAAATTTTTTTAAATATTGTGATTGTCTAACTTTAGTCTTTCAAATATTATAATTATACAATTTTTTTGACCTATTCAAGTTACATATATATTTTATTATTATTAAAATTGTTAATATATATATAATTTAAATAAGTAAAAATTTGTATAAGTTCAATACTTGAAAAACTAAAATCATATACAGTACTTAAAGCTGAAGGATTAAAATTGTTTAATTAAAAATTAAGGATCAAAATTACATAATTGCGATAGTTGAAAGAGAAATAAGTATTGCACAATTATTATTGGATCAAAAATACATTAATTTAAGTTTTGATAATTTAATTATTAGTATAACTTTGTAATAAATTTATATGTTCTTTTAAAATTATCTTTAATATTAATGAGATATATATATATTTTTAAAATATTTAATTTTTTAATTTCTTTCATCCGTAATATATTTGTTGTCTTAATTTTATTGAATATAAATAAAATAAAATAAAAAGACAAAGTAAGGTTTTTAAAATTTTCTGAATACAAAAATAAAGTTAGACTTAAAAAAAATTAAGACGTTAATATACTTTACCTACTATTTATTGAACATAAAAAAATAAATCTTAATTAAAGTATAATTTTGTAAAAAAAAATAATTAATACGCAGAGCATTATTGATTGATTCTTATATATATATAAAAGGAAAAAAAAAATCAAACTAGAAGTCTAAAAGTGCATACTAAACTTTAATGATCCGTTTGATTATACGATGCGAAGGATGTGTTTATTTTTGTTTTCATGTGAACTTGTAATAATTGGAAAGAAGAGGGTATGTCTTAGACTCTGTCAAAAAATGGGGTATGTCTTTAAAGTTGGTGTGAAACCCATCCTGCGTTTCTACCAAGGTATGAAATTCATTTTCGTAATCATTTCGGGAATGGTAATTTGGAATAGAGTTTTTGTATTTCGTAATTTGAGGAAATTCAAGTTAACCAATCAAGGGTGTGTTTTGTGTTTCAAGTTTCAACTTCCGTGTTCAACATTCAAGTTTCACAACTTTTCCATCGTAAGAGTAGTTCTCACGGACTTCAGTTGGACTCCTTGCTCACACTCACTCATCGGAACAGCATCATCACTTTAACAAATTTTAGGTTCGTTAATTTCTATCAATATATCCTCACTACAGTCTCTAGGGTTTCATGTCACGTAAATAATATTCTTTCCATATTTTTATAAAACTTAATTATTTAATTCACACCGATTAATTTTTTTAATTTAGTTAATAAAATTATATTTATCTTAAATTTAAATATATTTTTAAAATTATCCATAATATAAATGAAATATATTCTTATTTCTAAAATATTTTAATTAACTTTAATTATTTTAATATCTCCCATCATGAATATATTATTTTAATTTCTATTCACTATGTAGTTGTAGCCTTGTAGGGATAAAATTTTTTTAAGTTCCTTTCATATAAGATAAAATTAAACTTTGAAAGTGTCTATTATTAAAAAACATAAATCCAAAAGTGTCTGAAGCATTAACGTATTTCAACAACTATATATTCATTTTGTATAAGTATGTGATATACGAGGTTTCTATTTGTCTCTTAACTAATCTCCGTTTCATTAAATGGGTCAATTTAAAGATAAAATGATATTCCTCACGACTTCATTCTCCTACTATTTTTAAACCCAGGGAAATGACTCATAAATAGAGATATTTTTATAAAAAAGAATAATTAGTACAAGATATATTTTAGAATAATTTATATATAAAAAAAAAACTAAATTAAACTTCTAATTTAATTCTTATAAAAAAAACACCGGAGCAAGAAATAAAATCACAACTTCATTAATTTCTGATAAAATCACAATATACATTATGGAAGAGATGTCAGAGAAATTGTGAGGTCCTTTAGCAGCAGATCCCTTGAAGATAGTTATCGAACAAATTCTAATTCATTAATTATAACTACATGTATTATATATTTTGATCTACAAAAACTAGTTGAACAAACACACTAAGAGTTATTGATGTATCCTGATTCAACTGGTGTAGCATCAAGAGATCCTGCTATAGCTCTAGTTTCCAGAAATGTTCACCGACTTTTCCCAACTCAGTGAAGAGTTCAGGGTTCTTGATAGAGATTGTACAATCTCATGCACACTAGGGCGATTGGCCGGATCATTATTGATGCACTTATCAATCATTTCAATCACAAACATAGCAAGTTCCAATGGACAATTTCCTTGCAAAGAGGGATCCACAAACTCCTTCAACCTTTCCTGGTCACTTTTCTCACCAAGTATGGTACTCAAAACATGTGACAAGTTTGTCTCATCTTCTGTTAAGATAGCAGCAACCTCTTTTCCAGTGAGCATTTCCAGCATAAGCACCCCAAAAGCATACACATCAAGCTTTGTAGACACAAGACCATTTTCCAAATATTCCGGGGCCATGTAACCTCTTGTCCCAACAATGTGCCTTGTCGCAGGAAATTGATCTTCTGCTCCTTCCAAACACCTAGCAAGGCTCAAGTTTGCAACCTTTCCCCTGAAATCACTATCCAAAAGAATGTTACTACTCTTAATATCCTTGTGGATATGAGGAGGAGAAGTGAAACTGTGAAGATAGTCAAGTCCTGTGGCCACATCTAATGCAATTTGCATTCTCTGAGTCCAACTTAGGAACTTGCCATCCACGTTGTTGAAGTAGATCCATTCACTCAAGGCTCCATTAGCAGCATACTCATACACAAGGTACCAACGCCCCTCGTGGAAGCTAACCCCAGAGAGGCGTATAACATTGGAATGGTTGATTTTGTTCAGTATCTCTATCTCCTTTGTCACATCTCCTTCTATCTTTTTAATTGCAGCCAAATCACCATTAATCACACCGCGATAAACAGACCCTTGGATCCAGAAGCTAGGACTAAAATCATCTGTTGCCCGCTGTAGTTCCTCAAAACCATACACCTTGAAAGATTGAGCTATGCCAGATATGATCTCTGACAATTTTTCATCTACTTTCTTATTCCCCTGTGGTTTTTTCTCAATTGCCACAAAACTCTTGGACGCTACCGCCGAAACTGAACCATCTTGCTTTTGATTTTTGCGATAGCGTGTGAAGAAAATGACAGCACAGAGAGCTGATATCAAGGCAATAGCTCCTACACTAACTCCAACAACTACATACACCCATGTTTTGTTTGAGCTTTTATCAGAAGAGGGAGGTGAGGGTGGTGGAGTGTGTTGAGTTGGTGAAACGGTTTGAGAACTAGAGGGCTTATCATGAAGAGGAACTAGAAGTGTGGTAAACGGATAGATCATGGATTGTGTCAAAGTAAGGGTATTAGCTTCAAGAGTGGTCATAAAGTTGACACCAAATTTCTCACTAACAAGTGAAACAGAATCACCCCACTTTACTAGGTAACTTAAGAGGTACCTGATGCCTTTCTCGGTTTGATTCTTTGTTGGACAAGCACATCTAAGAGGCACTAAAAGTTTTCTACCGGGGTATATATCTGCAGGGTTGCGGTTTTGATGCTCCAAAGCTTGACATGTTGTGAGACCCTCAAAAGTGTTGTTGGCAATCAAGAAGTAAGTTTCTGCATTCTGGAACACATAGGATGTGTTTGTTTGATAATACTCACCTGCGCAGGAACAGTTTACAGGAACAAGCACCAACTTGTTTGTTTCAAAGGTTTCATTTAGTGAAACGGAGTTTATTTTAGCAAGCTGGGAAGGGTCAGAACCTAATAAACTGGATATTGTGGAGACAGAGTTGTAAATGGGTTGAGATCTGAAGGTAAGGTATGTTTGGCAGCTATGGTTTGCACCATTACAAGTGTAACCACGGATAGAATTTTTGTTACCCCTTCGAGGGCACGCTACTGTGCCTAAACCAATGTAAGGTTGCTGCCCCAGAATCACTGAGAAGCTGTGGATCAATAGGGTGAAAATGATGATAGGGGTGTAAGGAAAGAGATGCATTGTTATTGCAGAAGAAGGTTGTGACCAAACGATTTCTCAGGGAATGCAATTATCCACCAACTATTTTTACCTTTTTGTACATAAGAAGCCAGCAATTATGTAACACTTTATTAAAGGATACAATAGCCAGTGTCTGTTTCAAGTTTTCTTTTCTTCTTTTTTTGAATTATTTGATTCGTTGGTCATGGTTTCAGACGGAATACAATTTCTGAGAAATATCCAGCCTATTGCTTTGGTTCTTGAAGTTGTTTAATCATGAGTTAAAATATTTTGAAAACAATAGAATGGCTTGGATTGTTGTTGACCAAATAGTAGATAACAATACGTGGATGATACTCGTTTTCTTGACTTCTTGTCTTATCACTTCGTGAAGAAGGATCAAATTCAAAAAATCAATAAAAAAAATATGAAGAAAATGACACCTTAAATTGAAGGAGACGCTGAATTAGTTCTTTTTGTTTTTGCTTGCTTCTTCCATTGTAACATGATGATTTTAGGATTATTTTATAGTATTTATTTGATGGAGATATACTTTATTAAGAGAATAAATACTTTTTATTGTTTTTATTAGTTACTTGTATATACAATTTTATAATGATAAAATATTATTTATTTTAAATTTAAACTTTTATAATTTTATTTTTTATTATTATTCAAAAAAAAATTGTATCTAATAGTGTATGAATATTTTTTATAAATTTTTATTTCTCCTCTTATGACTTTATTTATATATTTATATGATAACAATTCATTATCTCTTACCAACAATATTTTATCTTATATGAGCATTTAAACCAAACAATTCTCATTAACTATTAAACACAATGTTTGATTTTTTTAATACTTTCGTATAATTTCATAGGATTTTTTTTATTTAATCAAGTTTTCTCCCAACCTAACAATTTCAAAATGTTTATTAAATAGACCTATCACTTATTTATATATTCTTATTCATTTTGCTCTCAATTTAATGTATTATCTCAATTTTTAATTTTACTTTTATTTTTAATTTAAAATTAAGCTAATTATATGAACACATTCATTTTTTTTTTATAATTATGATATTAATATTAATTATTCGATTATTAATCTTTATCAAAAAATTTAGTTGATGATTTTTATTGAAAATTTTCATTTCAGTCACTTTTTTTATATTATAAGATCTAAATTTATAATATTGTTTAAGAGGGACCAAATTCAGTGCCCCTCATATTAGTGAATAGTTAATAAATATACAAATTTCAATTATTATAATTGATCTAATAATAAAAAAGTAGAGACTAAATATATAAAGTTTTAATTTCAAACTTTATTTCTATTGTAACATGCAAGGTTGTGGTTGAAATTTAATAAATAATTATTTTAAGTATTGAAATTTATCGAAAAGATTAATTTTTCTTAGTAATATTATTTTTATGTCATGTCATGTCGATTCTTTTTCTTAAATATATATCTTTTTTCATCAATCCTCTTTGATTGTTATAGGCTAGCCTTACCCTAAAATTAATTTTATAAATATTTAAATAATAAAATCATCAAATCAAATGGTTGACTATAGAAGATGTGACAGCCCATTTCTGTACACAACCGCAATTTCCACGTTACCGGCTAACTTGGAAACTAGTTTTGATTTCTCTATAGAAAATTTTCAATAATGTTCTGGAGGATTTTTATTTATTTATTTATTTTTTTACTGCAAGAGAAGAGGTCCTTGATGTCTCTTAATTATTTTAAATATATATATATATA